GTATTTTCCAAGTAATTTGGAGGAATGGTGGGCCAACTGATTATTGACTTTGCGAATTTCTCTCCTTGTTGTATGTTTGTTGTTAAATAAATTAATTTTGTTAGTGGCTGTATCATTTTGCGGCGTTGGAAAAGTACCCTTTATTGAAAAATTGACCAAAAAAATGTTTGTTTTCGAACTGGAATTTGGTGATAATGTGCGAATTGCAATTCAAATTTGACACTTTTTTTACTTTGGCAGTTTTTCAGAAACATCATATACTGTGAGTTTTTGGGAAAATTATAGGTGGCTGTATCATTTTGAGACGCACTGTATGTCCAGGTGACATTCATTGGACAGGCATCCTCAATAAATCACCCAGATCTTTTAGCCCATCAAAAAAAATTCACCGGGCAATTTCGCTAGGTTCACGCTAATGCTGATCTCAATTTCAGAATTGGGTGATCTGAGACACATTTCTAGTTGGAAGTGTTTGAAACCTGTCATGAAGGGTATCAAAATTGTTGCAATCTAATGATCCCCAATTTGATGTAAACACACAATATATGTACAATCGACACTTGCTCACGAAACAACTAATTTCGAGCGTACTCCAGCGAACCTCCAGCTCCATAGCATTTTTAGTTGTAAAGGCGTGTTAACACAAATGAGTGATGCGGAATTATTCTCACCACGTCTTGAACGTAAAATCGATGACTCCAACCAATATCGATCTCGGGCTTCGTAAAAGTGAAAAAAACTTCGGAAAATCATCAAAAAGGGGGATGGACGAGAATGAAACCAAAGGAATGAAAAGTGGGGAGGAGTGAGCATTCGAACAAGCTCGACTATGTGTCTCATTGTGTTTACATTATAAGCATATGTAAACAAAAAAATACTATGAAAGCAAAAATAGCTCACCTTTTCAGCCTCTCTGGGTAGGAAATCAAATAAGGCATTGCGGCAGCAGAAAGAATAACAGAGGAAAAAAGAATGAGAGAAAACATCGCCTCACCACACGGCGATCAGCTGATTGTGTGTGGGTTTAAAACGAATAGTTGCAAACTGTATCGCTTCGACACTCGTCTGACGTGACATCGATTGAGGGGCGGGATGGTCGCGCGAGCCGGGAACTCCACTATGCCCTAACCGTCGAGTTTTTGGGCGCGAGAGGGTCCTTTCTATTATCCTAAGGGGCCACTAATAATCCCATGGGAAAAACTCAGCTACAATTTTTATCGTGAACCGTGCTTTTATAATAAGTTCGATTGTCACAAATCTTAAATATGAGCTCAGAAGCAGTTCTTGCGTGTGTATCAACTTGTACCTGTTTATGAACCAATAATTCCAATCGAAATCGATTTGCACCTCGCTTTACAGTGATTCTATATATTCAGATTTCACAGAAGCAGGGTATGTATCCCATTTTAATCACTAGGCAGATAAACCTATGACTGCGAGCAGTTTTGTGTTGTATTCTAAAACCCGAAAAAATTACCGTCCGCTCGTTTTTGCCCTCTTAACCGGTAGTTTCCATTCTCGTCTCCTCTACATTAAAATTGATAATTGGTTTCAGTATTCGGATTCCTACCTGGAATTAGCACAAAAAAGGCTTGTGCTCATTGCTCACTTACAGTCCTTAGCACGTAAACTCGATGAATAGTTTCATGAGCGGTTTGTTTGACAGCATTTCGGTATTAATGCTGCACTCAACCAATGGTGGTGTAAAAGGCGTCCATCCAGTCGCATATGCAGAAATCGATTGCTTCCATTTTCACTCTTGTCCAATGGCACAATTGCGCTCAAAAATACTCGGAAAATCAACCCGTATATGTGTCTGCTTGCTTTAGTCTTTCCGAGATATTTAAATTCAGTGGGCTAACTTTCCAGAGCCATTACTTTCGTCAGAGACTAAAAGTTGGAAAACTATTCGAGATTGATTCTCATATGAAATTGATAAACCTAAGACATCCTCTATACTGGAAGACCCTCGGACCCCTATACAAGAATGCAACAAGGATTACCCTAATCTAAGTCGCCGAAACCTTAGATTGACCACCTATAAATTGACGTCTGCACCATCTCCTTCCCGATCTCGCTCGCAATCACAAAATTCGCAGAGGTCGAGAAAGGGCGCGAGTTACTGGTTTCAGCCACACACTCTTCCTTCTCGTTACCTTGTGGGTTCTTGGCTGTAGTCAATACTCCTAAAGTGCTTTCGTACAGTAGTCTTCCTTTCTAGTGCTAAGATGGGTACTGGAATTGTGAATGCGTTACCATAATGACACAGAATTCGATGCGTTCCCACTAGTATTTGAGTGCGAAATTCTCTCAGCCTCTCCAGGTGTTCCTTAGTTCGTGTAGTGAGAGGACGCACGCTCAATCGATATACGCAGCACCGCAGGCCTGGCACTGGATTTTGTAGATGGCTCCCACTCTCATGCAGTCACCCCGTTGATTGGAATGCCACACAATGTAATCTGGGTGTCACACAATGTATCGTATGGGCGATTGCGGACCAGTTGCCGACTGAAGTTTCACGGGGGATTTCCACAACCAAGCCTTCTTCCAGTAGATCACATCTAGTCAAACTTGTTCGAATTGCTCTTCTCATTCCTTCGAAAATAACGGTGAGCAAAATGCCACTTCGTTGACAGGTGCTCATTCACGATTTCTACGAGGCCGGAAATGCCCCTTTCCCACCCCCCCCCCCCCCCACTGGGCTTCCCCTGGCAGTCAGTAATCCATTAGACAACGCAACCCTTCAAGCCATGTTCAGCGATCAGAATATTTATAAATAGATTGCTCATCGCGAAGTGGGCTATCGTTCAGAATGAATCTTTCCAACGTCGCTTCTGCTTGACGTCGGCGCAAACAGACAGTGACACAATGAACACGATTTTACAAAAAATACCTTGGGTGATCTAACCAGTTCAAACAGGTGTATATCATACAAGAGGGTGGTTCTTGAGGAGTGTTAGAAGTATATCGAAAACCGTCTCGACTGTGCTCTTCAAACACATCTTAGCTTAATCTGCATGGCGTATAATGGTTGTCAAAATGTGTATCACGGTAAGAAGATCTATGTATTGTCACATATATATTTATTTTGTGAAGGCAGAGCGCGAGATCCTTTTCACCTCTGTATACAATATTAGAGGCAGATTACATCATGAGTATAAGCCGAGAGGAGACACGACATTAAAATCGAATCAAACACTTTTGCGAAAAACTGTAAACCTAAACGAATTAAATCATCAAAGAAAGTCCTGCTTTCACCTCTATGCTTATGGCATGTATTCGCTCTGAGAAACTTCCTGCAAAAGTGATTATCTTAAGGCTTCGAAAACGACAAAGGTACAAAACCGACACCTGAACTATTCTTGAGGCCATACATCGAAAGCACAGGTGAAAGTTTATCGAAATTGCGCAACTGAGCCTCAAACGGTAGCCCGCATGAGAGAAAAGACTAGTTGGTCGCAGAGAAGCGCTTATGCTACAGTGAGTGGAAAATGACCAACTATTCACGGAAAACATGTGAAATCCAAATTTGAACATTTTCCAAAGTGAAGTTACCGTTACGAAGGCCTTTTTGAAGGCAATAGAGGTTGACATTATAGCAAAAGAATAAACTTTAACATGTTCAGAAACGTTGGTACTACACTTAATTATTTTTTCATACGAAACGACATGTAAGAGATTCTCGTTTTTGGAACTTTGCTTCATTTCTTTGTTGAACAGACCATAAAACAATTATTTCCTTCGAGCGGTTCAGCAGAGGTGGGTTTGCAAAAAATTACTGACGATTCAATGGAAACGATATCCTCTTATATTTTCATGGTTCAGAAAAAAAACGCTTTTTTCGAACCAATCATCTGAATCAAAAAACAGCATATATCATCGTAACTGTAACGGGGCAATGCTAAAGTTCGAGATTTTGGATGTTTTTCCATATGTTTAGGTAATCTGCAAGAATCCTATTCAACCAAACTCGACAATTTCGAACTGCCTCCACAGTCTTTTCTGGAGAAAACTCTGGATGTTGGGAACCGAGAATTTCCAGCTGAAAACAACCCATGTGAGAAAATGAACTACCTCAGCGTCATTTATTTGAAATATTGCAACAGAAACAAACCTTATCCTCGCATTTTTTCAATAAGTGATACTTCATATGGAAACAGCTATGGTAGAGCTGTGACAAATTTGAACACGATTGACAAACAAGAAACTCCTAAAGGTAGAAACGTAACAGTTGACGCTTCTGAATATGACGACATGAATTGAGTTACTTCCCGCTCTCGCTTAGTAAGGACCTACCACTGCCGGCAATGGGCTGCAGTCCGATAAAGGTCTTTCCATTGTCTCTAGAGTTTCGCTGTCGTACAAGTCGAGCGCGTACAATTGGATGATTCGTTCGACAGGTCGTAAAGCACAACACTGGAAAGATTGTTTTTGGGAAATTCATCAAAGTATGTTTCGGATCTTTTCATCCCAGGAATTCCTAGGAAAGCAATAGTCTCTCTCGAAAAAAGGTATTCTTTCGATTTGACTTCATTTGGGCTTAATGTAATATCAATGTACTACATACTATGCACCATCACTATCAATAATGCGTTGAAAACAACTATGCAGGGAAAGGCCCCCTCGCCTTCAATTACTGCGTTTTTGAGCTGAAAAAGAAAAGTGAGGTCATTTCTGAGATCGTCTGGGGAATAGCAAGTAGGTTATTAAGGGACGATGGGATAGATGGCGGATATATGGAGGGTGTAGTCCATTTTCTTAGCATGGTCTTAGGATCCGTCGTTGTCCTTCAAGACAGCTGGTTTGCACTGTTTTGAAACAGGTACACATTGTAGAATCTCGAGGAAGTTAGCTGGAGCCTTCCCCTAAACTTCGTACCTGACTACAGAAGGCTCGCTCGTAACTGTCGCGTTGCGCGGTAGAGATCTATGTGGTATACTCCGCAAACGCTCTACTAGACGCACAGCATGGTCTTCTCACTGGACAGATCTGAGCTCACTGCTGGTTTAGTCTCTTCTGCTGGATTCAGCTACTGATGTCTCCACCTGTCATCGACGAAAAGGCACCACTTTTGATTCTCAGTGATAACGGTGCCCAACTAGTCGGTTCCGCTGGAGAGGGGCGAAGTTGTAGACCGTACACCAGGCGCGTTCTCTTTTTCGTGCTCATTTGATTGCGTGTCGGCTCTGTGATCGATGCCAATTCATGCGAAACGATTCCCGCTCTAGCAATCACATTCGGCTGCTCCAATGATTCTGTGAACAGAGATCTTCGCTCCCTCTTAACAGTCTTGAAATTTGATCAATGAATCCCTCATGAATTGACCACGATAGTTTTCAGAAACATCTTATCTTCTCATTTTGAAAATGTAATGTGTAATACTAATAATAATGAAACGGCCTTTAATCCAACAGATCAATATTAGAATAGCAGTGGGGCCAGCAGCCAACAGGCAAAGACATTATGGTCCTTCGTGCATTGCCGGACGCCTCAAAAACTTGGATTTCTACGAAAGCAAGGTAAACGTTGAATGGGGGAGGTAATTCATGTACAAATCAAGTTCTGCGCACTTTCTTTGCACCTCCGCTGACTGCTTGTTGGCAGCTGGCCTCACTGCTATTCTCAGATAAACTAATATCGATCTATTGGATCGAAAAGGCCATTACATTATTGCTGGTGTTACACAATTCATTTTCAAAATGAGAAGATAAAATGTTTTTGAAGACGAAGTGTCTTGATATACAGAACTCATAGTGCTCTCGCGTGTTGAGGATAAATAGTGTGACCTACAGCACTATGAGAAACATAAAGGAATGTGCAGGTGTTGGAAGGATCGTAGTTGCGTTAAATGGTGGCGACGCCGTGTATTATGGTGGGCTAGCTAATTTCAGTGATACGTAGGTATAAGAAAGACCTAGAAGTAGTTAATGCTGTGCTCCAGCTAGATTAGGCGTTGTGGTGGAATTCAGAGTAATACAAGTCAAACAAGCGATGACAGAGCCGATTTACTGAGTTGTCCGCAAATATTCCGCCATTTTCTGAAAACCCTGGGTTTGTCAACTAATGTACCAAAGATCAAGGACCTAACCTAATAAAATCATAAGTTTTCCGAAAGGGTAGATACTCCACTACTCCTAAAAGCAAAACCCGCGGGAAACTGAGGACCATCGCGTGCATTTCCGGCATATGATGCTTTTCTTCTACCATAAGGGCGAGAATGCGGCTTATACCGCGAGAAGACGTTCAAGTAAACAATGCTCTAAAGAAACGTACAGGGAGTGGGTGGTTCGAGAAATTCAACAGGGTGAATACACCCTCGAAGATCGGCATCAGAGAGGCTATCGGCAGTTGAAAACGAACAAACCAAAATGCAATAGAAACAAATAGTCAAACCACTACACGAGGAATAGAAGAAAGACTTAATGTTTCGAAATCAACCACCTATGGCCATTTGCTTGAACTTAGTCTTATTAAGCGCATTGATGTTCGGGTACCTCACAAAAAGAGCGAGTGCAGTGTGCTGGATCGCGCCTCCATGTGCGACTCGTTGCTCAAACGAAACAAAAATGAGCTGTTTCTGAAACGCATGAAAACGGAGGGCGAAAAGTTGGTCGTGTACAACTAAGTGGAGAGGAAACGATCGCGAAAGCCTTCCCAGTGAGCCGTCATAAACCACTCAATTAATAAAATCAATTTTTGTCAATTAAAATCTAGGTACGGGGGATTATGCTGTGTTGCTGATGGCATTGAAAGGGTACCATTTATTAGGAGCTGTTGCTGCGTAATCAGATGATAACTCGTAGAGGTGATGTTCTTAGCTAGACATTTCGAAGACAGTTATAGACCAGAAGTGCCCAGAGTTGACCAGTCATCAAGGCGTTGTCTTCCATCAGGACAACTCCACACATATTTTTGCTCACTGGTCAAGAATTGCTGGAGCATGAATGGGATTTCTTAAAACACCCTCCATATTGTCCAGACATACTACCATCGAACCAATACTTGTTTAAGTTTCTGTAGAATTCTTTGAATGGGAAGTCGTTCTATCCGCCCGATGACTGCAAAAAGCACCTGATGGTTTTTCGATTCTAAGTCTACAACTTCCTGAGAAAGTGGGATAATGAAAACTACGGGAAGATGGCAAACCACTACTGAACAGAACGGGGGATACATTGTTCATTCGATGGATTTCTTCTTCTAGAAATTTTCACTCGAATATGACTCAAAGAACGGAGCAAACTTCCGGATAACCCAATATAATACTTTCATCCACATGTTCGAGTACTTGGAAGCGACCTCCTGACGGTGTCTAAACAAAGCGATAGAATGCGTCGAAAAAGGCTTCTTCAAGGCTTCCAGGGTTGCATAATTTATGCTCACAAACTGCTTATTTTTTGTTTAGGTTTAATTTTAATACTCATATTTCAAAATGCGATAAGTTTCCTAATTTATACAATCGATATGTTTACAACTGTCTCGTCTGGCAGAGAGGTAAGCACTCAACTAGTTGAACGAGGTCACCCTACAGACAAGTAAGGGGTGGAATGAAGATGGTGCGACGGATTTGTACTAATAGGGACATACCCACATGTTGCCAGCGTGATTCGACGCGCAATGGAAAGAACGAAAGTAGGGAACCCGGGGTTCCGAGCTCTGTCTACAAATGAAAAACATAGAATTAGTTGCTTACCAGTAAGGAATGGGAATAAAGTGGGCCGGACACGAAATGTGATTCTGTGATGACGGTTAAACTAGGGCGGTTACTGATTGGATTCTTCAGGAAGTCGAACGAACACAGGTTACTGATTGGATTCTTCAGGAAGTCAAACGAACACAAGTACGGCCGCCAGCGCCATGTCAGAATTTTTTACAAAAGCCCTCAACGAAAGTATGCCTTGGGTCACTCGAACGAGGAAGATTCAGTGGACCACTGTGGTTCGCTACAGGAACGAATGGAGAATAGGGCTGCCACCCGCTCGAAGAAATCGATGAGGGAAAAAAGATGATAAGGGTGACACGTACACTATGTATACATGTACGCTATGTATGTAAGACTATGTATGCATGCACGCTGTGTGAATGGATGTATGTACGCTATGTACGCTATGTATGTATGTGAGCTATGTATGCCATGTATGTACGCTTTGCACTTTACGTATGTAAGCTATGTACGCTATGTGCGCTATATATGTGCGCTATGTACGCTACGCATGAACGCTATGTACGCCATGAACGCTATGTATGAACGCTATGTACCCTATGTACGCTATGTATGTACGCTATGTACGCTAGGTATGTACGCTATGTACGCTGTGTGTACGCTATGTACGCTGTGTGTACGCTATGTACGCTATGTATGTACGCTATGTACGCTAGGTATGTACGCTATGTACGCTGAGTGTGCGCTATGTACGCTATGTATGTACGCTATGTACGAAATGTATGTATGCTAT